TTCGTCGGAGTTTCACCGACTCATCAGGAGGCTGAATATATATATATATATATAGTCACAGCCCCTCGTTTGTTGTCCTCTTCTCTCTCTCTGCCTACGGTTTACCGGGCAGTTCTGTTTGTGACGATATATAGTCACACTGTGAATCAGAGCGCGAAGGCAAAAAAAAGGCAAAACAAGGAAAGGAAAGTAAGGAAGGAAAGCCCCACCTGCTCGTCACCTCTTACGTACAAGGCCGGCCACGTGGATGACAGGTTGAGCACTGGCTGCCCCCATCCCCGTGTGTCACAAGAACCCACTTGCACGCAGCCAAAAAGGCAAATAGGTAAAGAAAAGGCGGCGGAAACCAGACCTCACAGAGGCAAGAGAAAGAGAAAAAAGGTCAAAGAAAAGACAAAGGAAGAAAGCAATTGACACATCCCACAGATAAACCAATTGCCACTGTCACTACAAAGTTCAACATAGTTTTTTCTTTTTTTCTTGTTTTCTTTTTTCTTTCTTTTCTCCAGAAATTTGTATTTTCTTTCCTTCTTTCTTTTATCTGTCCTACAATTAGTGTTGCTCCTGATCTGATCGCTTGATTCTATTGACCAGTCAGGAATAGGAGCCCCCACCCCACCCCGACAGATAGGACAGGCACGCTGAGGAGGATGACGTGGATGTTCACAAGGATACCCAANGAGGAGGATGACGTGGATGTTCACAAGGATACCCAAGGAGAGCTACTTCAGCACAGCATTCAGCAGGACGGCTAGCACGGACCATCCCATCAAAACAGTCCTGACAAAGGACATGCTGTCCGCATGTAAAAAAAACAGCAGGACGTTCATCACAGTGCGGCATCATGCAGTCCTGATAGCGTCCTTGAGCACGAAAGGGACAACGAATATCTGGGTGATAGGGATGTGTACAATGAGGAAATGTTGGACACCCTTCGGCGGCGGCTGCCATAGATTGATAATGTGTTTGATCTTCTAAGGTTGCCACCCTCCCTTGCCCCAGGACCCCCTGTGTAAATCTTCTGATGAGGTCTTGGGCGTCCACTTGGCTCGGCTTAATCTTTCTCCTCATCATGTTGCATTGAGATGTGATGCCCATTTCCAACAGGTTTCTGAAGATCTCCTGGGCTTCCTGTATGTACAGTTGGCTGTTGTCGATCGTGTGTTGGCACGTTCTATTCCATATGGTCCAAAGGCCGTATTGTGTCCGTAATTGGAAGCTCCTTTTCCGAACCCCCTTTCCCTCCTCCCCTCCCCCCCACCCCCAGAAGAGTGAAATTGCATCTGTAGCATTTCTGTACCCTGTTCAAAGATTGGAATTCCCTTTATACGGAGTCCCCGTGCCCAACTTGCGTCTATACCCAGGAAATGGCCTGTGAAAAATTATGTCCATTCGTGGGAGCGAGGTGGGCCAAGGTTGGTACCGCCGAATTGCAGTTAGTAAGTTACCAGAATGGTCAACTTATGGTAATGCCCCTGGCAGGGACATTATGTGCATAGTACTGCATACCCAATTTTGCCTTGCCAGTTTCTGGGCATGAGCATAATTTTGCGCTCCTCGAAAGAGGCCCTGTGGGACCTGGTACAGGTATAATGTAGAGCAATGGGAAGTAGTAGGGCATCACCTTAAGTTG